GGAAGGGAAGGGAAGGGAAGGGAAGGGAAGGGAAGGGAAGGGAAGGGAAGGGAGAAAGAAAAGAAGAGAAGAGAAGAGAAAGGAAGGCATTAATATTTCCCTATACTTAAAGAAGAACTGAGTTTATGAACATATACTCTACTTTTCTAGGAGATCAACCTCCATAGCGTTTAGAAATAAGATCTATAAAAGTCTTCTTAGACCAGTTCTCATTAGCCCTGGATTACCTGTAGGCCAACCTGGCACCTATTTATGGTCAGCTGAGAAAAAAGGAGGTGAAAAGGCAGCGTTTCTTCTTGCTCAAAAGGCAGCTCTCTGATTAGCCATTTTGGGAAGAGAAGGTTGGATCACACCAAGTGTTTAGCTGGATCTGGGTGGGTTTGAATTCTCATCTAATCCTCCTTTTCTCCTTCTCCCTGAATAAGGTATTCACCATGTAACATCCTATTTTTGATATTCTATGACAGCCTTCCCTAACTTATTTTGGGTTTGTTTTACAGTGCTGATATGGTGTCTGCTCCCTTCACAGCTCACAACAATTCACAGAACTACAATTAAGACTGGAAAAACACAGTTAAACATTATTCAATCACTAAAACAATACATTTTAAGGCAATTACATTTTAGTTGTGACACCCAAAGTTAAAACAATCGAGTTAGTACCCTCCAAGCGTGTTAGGATGGTCTGACCTTGTTAACCTGCAGCTTTGGAATTCGCTTTTTATCAAAAGAGAGGCTAAGTTTAAATCTAGGTTTAAATCTAGGTTTAATTCATTGTTTAAAAATGGAATGAGAACAATGAGATTGAAGACATTTCTAACATTTCAATAACCTTTTTTTTTTTTAAAAAAAAAGAATTTTAGGGTAAAATTGGGGTAATTTTCTCCAGTTATTTTTTCCCCAAATTGGTTTTTTTATCTTTTTCTCTACCCCCAACAGTAACCTTAGGTCGTTGTGTTGTTGTTTTCTTCTTCTGTTTGGCCATATACTTTATTATATAACCAGTGAAACCTTTTTTTAAAATCAAATTTTAAATGACAGCCCTGAAGCTCTATAGCTATGCTTCAGAGATAAGATATGTAAATTTAGATAAACAACACTCTACATTAATAAATAGCATTGGTAACAAAATGTTAATGGTCATGTTTTCAAAGTTTAATCAAATTTGGTAAAAAAAAAAAAAAAAAAGTTTGGGGACAAAACCTCCCAGAATTCCCAGTTTTCATGGCCAACCAAGATGACTGTTTGTCAAGTCTGTAAAGGGTTTGCAGCCCTTCCTTTGGGGAATTGGAGTCCAAATTCTTCTGGAATGACTTTAATTCTGAATTTGTCCCATGCCTGCATTGCTCCAGGTCTAACGAGGCTGAGAGAGCTACCATTGTCACCTTCACCAAGCTGTCTCTGAACACAGTGCTTCAATGGCCTCCAGCCACTGACATTCTTTATACCTGTCAGCTACAACTGCAGGAAAAGACACCCGGTGGTTTTCGTCCACCCTGACATCGTTCTGGAAAATAAACCGCTGCTGGGCCCTGTATGCATGAATGAGGCTGCTCCCGTCAAAGGTTTCTGAGATGTTGGAATAGATGGGTGAACGGCTTGCAGCTTCCAAGCGTTTCAGCTGGCAGGACGTGGTGACGAAAAACACCTGAGGGAGATGGGTAAAAAGAAGAGGGGGAAGTCTATGTTGATCTCGAAGGCTTGAGTCTGGCTTGGTGTGAGCTCAGGTTTGCACACAGGAGGTGAGAGAGCCTTGCTGTGATAGAAGGAACTCTCCCACTTCAGAGAGAAGACTGTGTGCTTTAGCACTTGATTTATAGGGAAAATTCCCTGCAAGAAGAAGCAGAGCACCAGAGGAAGTGAGCAGGGCTTTCTCTTCCTTGCATGGACTTTGCTTTTATGTTGAAAATGTTTGCATGGTAGGTTGCAAAGCTTCCGTCATAGAAATTTACATTAAAAAGACAGACATATATATGGAAAGTTACATTAAATACACACACACATGCATACGTTTCCCTATATTTATATCTATACAGGTAGTCCTCGACTTACAACCATTTGTTTAGCAACTGTTCGAAGTTACGATGGTGCTGAAAAAAGTGATTTACAACTGGTCCTTGCACTTACAGCCATTGCAGTGTTCCCGCGGTCACCTGATCAAAATTTGGGTGCTTGGCAACTGGCGTGTATTTATGATGGTTGCAGCATCCCAGGGTCATGTGATCACCATTTGCAGCCTTCCCAGCCAGCTTCTGACAAGCAAAATCAATGGGGAACCACGTGATTCACTTAATGACCACAGTGATTTGCTTAACGACCACTGCAAAAAATGTTGTAAAATCAGTGCGGTCATGTGATTGATTTATATTTCAAATTTAGTCACTGCCCATCTAACTCAAGAGCGACTCTGGGTGATTGCCTCACTTAATGACTGCACTGTTTAATGATGAATTTTCCGGTCCCTATTGTGGTTGTAAGTTGAGGACTACCTGTATGTATATCTGTATCTGTATCTATCTATAGGAGATTTATGTGCAAACCCACGCAACATACAAAAACCAAACACTAGGAAATGGCTGGGGTCTAGAAAGTCAAGATGGCTGCTGCAACTGCATGATTGAAGCCACACAGATATGCACCACCTTGCCTATTCAAAAAAGGTGGGGCTTCTATCATGTGTCTCGTCTTTTCTGAGCCTCTCTTTGAAGATGCCCCTGCCAAGAAAAGTCACACAAGAAGAATGGATATGGACCATACCCCTGCAGTCCCAGGTAAGAGATTCAGAATGAAAACCTGTTTAATAAACCTTCTGCACTAGAATCCTGATAGCAAAATTTATCAGATTTCTATTCCCTGCCACCAGCCATCTTATCTAGGCAGTGCCATCTATTCCGAGGCACGCTGACCCCAACGTGATGTCCTGCATGCCATGATGTTATTTTGCACAAACAACATGAGTGATGCAAGTGGGAAATTCATGTTGGCATGATGTCAGCTTTCCTCCCCACCCCATGCCATCTGTATATAACCTGGGATAGAAAACAGCCTCTAAGCCCACAAACAGTTAAAACTGATCCCCTTTTTCTCATGTTTATAATAAAGCCAAGGCTTTATCTCCTGAAGATGCTACACACCTGGAAAGCAACATACAAGGCTGACAGAGGAAGAATAGCCACTAAAACAATCGGTGTGGCCACCACAATCACAATGTAGATCTCCAGAAGGTTTAACAGGAAGCCCAGCAGAGACTTCAGCTTGTCGGGGATGATGGAATCAATAGCGTCCATTTCTTTGGAGAAGCGGTTGAGCAGGTTCCCGCTGGGGGTCTGTTCAAAGAATATCATTGGAGACCGGAGAACATCTAACAGAAGCTGCTGGAAGAGCCTACGGGATGCCACGATCCCAGCCAAAAACACAGCCGCTACCGACCCAAATTTTCCAACGGCTGCAACAGAAAATGAAAGATTCCAGTTGTTTCAGGAATCGATGCCTTCTTCTTATCAGGGTTATAATCACTTAAAAGTGAAATGGGAGGCTATATAAATCGAATGAATGAATGAACGGATAAGATGTTTGGCGGTGATGGTTTTCTGTGAATGAATTTAAGGTCCTTATCTTTTGCTGTTTGTGGGGCACCTAAGATAGGTCACTATCATAGATTAAAATCAAAGAGAACCATTAGATGACAGAAAATGTGAACGGGAAAAGAGAAGGCAACAGAAGAGAACTTAAAACGGCAAGGGTACATATCACAGAGAAGGAGAGTGATCAGATCTTCTGAAGCGGGGACGTTTCTTAATATGGGTACCATGCCCCGAAAGCCCAGTATTCTACCTGCCATTGCACATGAGCCTTTTGGAAAGATTTGACTAGTATAGTGATTAGGGAGAGTTGACATGAGGGGAGTTGTAATCCAACGTATCTGTAGAATTCCCCGTAGTGGGAAAGGGTAAGTTAGGATGCCAGAATAGGAGCAGGAAGATCAACCATAAATTTCAGTGGATGATCTTGGATCAACCATCCAATTTCAGCTTAAACTGATCTCATGGGTGGTGAGAATAGAAGCTAAGCACAATGGCAACTATGTCTTGAGCTTATGTGCAGATAAGATGGGGTACAAAAGAGAATGAAAGGAAGAAAGGAAGGAAGAAAGGAAGAAAGGAAGAAAGGAAGAAAGTTTTTTTAAAAAGCAATCTTCATAAACTGGTGGAGTGGACACTGTGCATTGTTTCCCATGCAAACCCTATTTATATTAACCCTGGGTTACTGTGGACTGCCCAGACTAACACCACGGAAGGAAAATTCCTCTTTGCAGGAAAGCTGAGTGGTGATCTGGAAAATGGGGTGGTGTATAAAAATGGTACAATCAATAAATGCATGAAAAGGGACAAGGACTTCAAAAAAGAAAAGAAATGACACAAATAGACCATACATGGCCAGATATTATAATAAATATACAATCTATTATATGTATCACTTATTTAGGGGTGTCTGGCAGGTTGGGGGTCAAAAATGTCAAGGTGGCAACTACAGTCCCATGCAGTCAAAATCCTGCCTTTTTAATGTGCATGTAAAAAAGCAGGTAGGGCTTCAATCACAGGGTTGTGGCTGCCATTGTGGCTAGACTGACCCCCTTCCCTGCGGACACACCTGTATTCATTCATTCATTCATTCATTCATTCGTTCGTTCGTTTGTGTGTGTGTGGTTCTGTTTTAATATTGCTTTATTGTATGATAAGATGCAAGCAATGTGTACAGGAGTATTTATACAGCATTAACTCATTTATTTCTTTGTTTCCTGGTAGAAGAGAGTTGGACCAACCTTGAGTGAATCCTAGGAGAAAAAAGACGCCCACGCGGAGCTGGGTGTGAGGTTGTGTCCCATTGGAAACGGGGTCATTGGCCCACAGGCTGAGCCAGTAGCCACGGCAGAACGAGAAAACTTGCTGGCAAGCAAACAGGAGCACGATATAAGCCCAGAAGAGGGAGCCTGCTGTTCGCAGGTACATCAGGTATACTGAAATCTTTACCTAAACCAAGGGAAGGAAATAATAATAGTATTAATAATATTAATAATAATACCAACCATCATCATCATCATCATGAGGAGGAGAAGAGGAGGAGGAGGTGGTGGTGGTGGTGGTGGTGGTGGTGGTGGAAGACCATCTGGAGAGCTAGCAAAAGAAACAGCACCTCAAGGTGTTTCATCCTGTTCCTGCCATCAGTCTGTATGTTCAAAGTCACCTCTCTCCACCAGCTGCTTCTCTGCTAGGGGCAAACGAAAACCACATCTCACACTTGCTTGGATGTTTTCTGAGTGTGTGCAATGTTGACAGAACTTACATAGGCTGGGTTTGCACAACACTCTAGAGCAGTGTTTTTCAACCTTGGGAACTTTAAGATGGGTGGACTTCAACTCCCTTAATTCCCCAGCCAGGCATGAAGTTGCAGGAAGCAGGCCTTTGCATGAACCCAACATATGGCTTACCTCTTTGGGCACACAAAACATAATGGCTAAGTCTGCATCTCATGCCAGCTTAGGGTTAACATTTAACATATAGTGTGAACCTAGCCAGGATGTGCTGTTTGGCCCAAGCTACAGGCTCCTGATTTGAGCCTCAGCCGTCTACCCTAGACACATGGGCACGTGCACATAATATTATCTTACCACCAACAACAAATGAAAAAAATGAACAAGCTTTATCACAATCAGTGCTAACTGAAAATACCACCAATAACAAAGATCCAGAGAGCGGCAATTAACCCAGGTAGGTTTTCTCCCCTCTGAAGCACTGTTGTGAGACAGAGGGTAATATTCTTTATTCCCAGTTCAAGAAAACTCAACTTCTTCCTAATCAGGAGAATGCAGCTTGGTCTGTTCTCCAAATCACGAATGCCCAAAGCTGCTTGAAAGAGAAAAGGGCCCCCATCAAATGAAATTGTGAAGCTCAGCCTAACAGTAAGTTCTTCCACTGGGAAAAATGGTGGAGTGAACAGTTCCCTTTGGAGTGGAACTGTCAATGTGGCAGATTTGGGGCTCAGGCAGCAAGTCCCATACCATCTACCTAAATCAGTGTTGTCCAAACTTGGCCACTTTAAGATGAGTGGACTTCAACTCCCAGAA